CGGATGTTTAAATGTGACAGAACGGGCCGCAGTGAAATGATGTTTTCCTCTTAGACTTGAGTAGATTGATGATCTTTATGCTTTTTCAATAATTTTTAATAACTCCAATAATCATTAACTTGGTCTGTATTTTTAGAACACTTTTAAATACTAAGTCCCCATTAAAGCCCTGTTTTTCTAGGCGCTCTCCTATTAAAGTGTTGCGTAGTCTTCTTTTTATAAGACAAATTTGCCATTCCTACTTTGTGTGGTTTCTTGAATTTTTAATATCTGCTTTCTAAACTAAACTCATTAGGTCATGCAGTGGCTTTATACCACTAGTGGTCTAGGGTTTAGATAGACATTCAAACTCACAAGGGTTCAGCTAGGACAGAAAACACTACATGTAATCAGAACAGCATCAGAATTGTGGCCAGTAAGGATCCTCACAGCATACCAGGGGCTTTCTCTGCCTCATCAATGACAGCTTAGATGTGAAGAAGCAAAACCACGCTAGTGATTGCAAGAGCTACTGTTTTAGAAATTTCATGTTTCTTAGCTCGTGGGCAAGGCCATAGCTTCCAAGGTTTTGCAGAGTGGCATGATTATACTGTACTTAGGAAAGTTCAAACTATGGCTTCTCACCAGGTACCTTCCAGTCCAGATGCCAACAAGAGGTCTTTTTTTTTTTTTTAACCATAAGCAATATTGCCTAGTAACGCTGCTGACATGTCGTCTTTATCAGCCTAATGGGCACAGTGATAGGTTAACCAAAGGTATTTTTTTTTAATGAAGGAATTTTGTTAATCCTTTATTAACATGTCATAACCCAATGGAAAATTTTTTTTTTTACTGTTTTCTATGTGGTCATTTGATTATTCTTAACTAGGAAAGGTAGAAGTTCATTTAAAAGTCCTTCAATTAAAACCATTTGTAAGACATTTTTTATGCCAAAATGCAGACCTTGATGTGTGTTTCTTTTCAAAATAATTACTTCTCTTTAATTTCCCTCCCTTGACAAGAGAAATTTACTGCCTCCTGTACTTTCTTTCTGCAGTGTGTTATTGTTTTCAGTGTACAGGTTTTATATGTATTTTGTAAAATTTATCTCTATGAATTTAATTTTTTGGATGGTATTGTAAGTGGAATTATTTTAAACTTTTTATCTTATCAGTGTTCATTAATTATATACAGGGGTACATTAATACATTCACAGTGTGTTACAACCATCACCACTGTCTAGTTCCAGAAATTTTCATCATTCCAAAATGAGACCCTGTTTTCATTAAGCAGTCATTCCCTGATTCACCCTCCCCTAGTAATTACTAATTTGCTTTCTGTTTCTGTAGATTTTCCTATTCTTGATATTTCATATAAATGGAGTCATACAATGTGTCCTTTGATATCTAACTTCTTTGATTTAACTCATCCATGTTGTACCATATATCAGTACTTCGTTTCCTTTTATGGCTGAATAACATTCCATTGTGTGGATATACTGCATTTTGTTAATCCGTTCATCAGTTGATGGACATTTTGGTGGTTTCCACCTTTTGGTTATTGTGAATAGTGATGCTGTGAATATTCACGTACAAGTGTTTGTTTTAACATCTGTTTTCATTTATTTTTAGGAGTGGAGCTGCATGGTCATATCGTAATTCAGTGTTTAATTTATTGAGGAATTTATTGAGTGTCTTCCCCAGGAGGTGCTGCATTTCACAGTTGGACCAACATTGTATGAAGTTTCTAATTTCCCCACATCCTCACCCACACTTGTTATTTTTTGTTTAAAAAAAATTAGTATGGTTATCCTAGTGCATGTGAAGTGGGATGTCATTGCAGTTCTGGTTTGCATTTCCCTCATAATCAAAGACATTGAACTCTTTTTGTGTGCTTGTTGGTCATTTTATGTATCTTCCTTAGAGAAATGCCTATTCAGGTTCGTTGCCCATTTTTTAATTGAGTTATTAATTGGGTTGTTTTTCTTTTTGTTGTTTGAGTCATGTAAGAGTTTTTGTATATTCTGCATATTAGACCCTTATCAGATACATGATTTGCAAATATTTGTAAAAACACATTTGGTGGGTTTTCTTTTTACTCTCTTGATAGTACCCTTTGATGCATGAGTTTTTTGAGGTAGTCCAGTATGTCTATTTTTTCTTTTGTTGCTTTTGTGCTTTTTGGTGTCAGAACTAAGAAACTGTCACCAAATCCAAGGTCACTGAAGACTTACCCCTTTTCTCATCTAAGAATTGTATAGTTGTAGTTGTTATATCTATGTCCTTGATTCATTTTGAGTTAGTTTTTGTTTATGGGGTGATGTTAGGGTTCAGCTTCATTCTTTGGATGTGGATATCCTGCTGTTTCAGCTCTTTTTGTTGAAGAGATGATTCTTTCCTCACTGAAGGATATTGGTACCATTGTTGAAAATCAATCGACAATATTTGCTAGGTTTATTTCTGGACTGTCAGTTCTCTTTCATTGATGTATATGTCTGTTCTTATGCCAGCATTACAGAGTTTTGTTTTGTTTTTCTTTTTCCACTGATATACAAGATTTTTTAAAGACTTTGAAAAAAATTGAGGTATAATTAAACTAGTAGTTACCAGTGGGGAGAGGGAAGTGGGAGGGGCAACATAAGGGTAGGAGATTAAGAGGTACAAACTATTTGTATAAAATAAGCTGCAGGGATATATTGTACAATACAGGGAATATAGCCAATATTTTATAATAACTATAAATGGAGTATAACCTTTAAAATTGTGACTCATATTGTACACCTGTAACATATCATATTGTACATCAACTATACTTCAATAAAAAATTGAAGTATAATTGACATATAATGTTACATATACTAGTTATAACATTATATTAGTTTCAGGTGTATAGTATAATGATTTGATAATTGTGAATAATGTGAAATGATCACACAATAAGACTTTATTTATTTATAGCAGTTTTAGGTTTGCAACAAAATTGAGAAGAGGGTGTAAAGATTTCCCATATACCCTCTGCTCCACACATGCATAGCCTCTCCCATATCAACATCCCCCACTGGAGTGATAAATTTATTAAAATTGATGACCCTATGTTGACACATAGTTGTCACTCAAAGTCCATAGTTTCCATTATGGGTCACTCTTGGTGTTGTATGTTCTATGAGTGTGGACAAATATATAATGACATATATCCACCATTACAGTATTAGAGACTGTTTTCATTACCCTAAAAATCCTCTGTGCTTCACCTGTTCATCCCTCCCTCCCCACAAACCCCTGGCAACCACTGATTTATTTAGTATCTCCATAGTTTTGCCTTTTCCAGAATAATGTAGTTGGAATCATAGTATATAACTTTTTTATATTGGCTTCTTTCACTTAGTATTATGCATTTAAGTTTCCTCCATGTCTTTTCAGGGCTTGATAGTTTACTTTTTTTTTTAGCCCTGAAAATATTCCATTGTTGGGTGTTCTGCAGTTTACTTACCAATTTATGTACTGAGGATAGATCACACAACAATTCCCAAGTGTTGGCAATTATGAATTAAGCTGTCATAAATGTTGCGTGCAGGTTTTTGTGTGGATATAAGTTTTTAGCCCTTTCAAAAGGTAAATATCAAGGAGCATGACTGCTAGATTGTAAAATGTTTAGTTGTGTAAGAAACTGCCAAACTGTCTTCCAGAGTGGCTGCAGCATTTTGCATTCCCACAAGCAATGAATGAATGTTCTGTTGGTCAACATCCTTGTCAGTGTTCCAGATTTTGGCCATTCTGATAAGTGTGTACTGGAATCTTGTTGTTTTAGTTAGCATTTCCCTGATGACATACTATGTGGAGCATCTTTTCATATGCTTACATACTATCGGTGTATCTCTTTGGTTAGATGTCTTTTAAGATCTTTGGCCCATTTTAAAAAATTGGATTCATTTTCTCATTGTTGAGTTTTAAGAGTTCTTTCTATATTTTAGATAGCAGTCCTTTATCAGATATGTCTTTTGCAAATCTTTTCTCCTAGTCTGTGGCTTGGTCTTTTCATTTTCTTCACAGTATCTTTTGAAGAGCAGAATATTTTAATTTTAATGAAGTCTAGCTTATCGGTTCTTTCTTTCATGATTGTGCCTTTAGTGTCATATCTAAAAAGTCATCACCAAACCCAAAGTCATCTAGATTTTCTCTTATGTTATCTTTTAGGAGTTTTATAGTTTTGTGTTTTACATTTAGGTCTGTGATCTATTTTGAGTGATTTTTGTGAAGGATATAAGGTGTGTGTCTAGATTCTGTTTTTTGTTTTTCTTGTTTTTTGGTTTTATTGTTGCATGTAAATGTCTAGTTGTTCTAGCACTATTTGTTGAAAAGACTGTCTTTGCTCCATTGTGTTGCACTTGTTCCTTTGTCAAAGATCAGTTGGCTAATTTATGTGTATTTATGTCTGGACTCTCTGTTCTATTCCATCGATTTTTCTGTCTATTCTTTTACCAGTACCACATTATCTTAATTACCGTAGCTTTATAGTAAGTCTCCAACTTTGTTCTTTTCCTTACAGGTTGGGTTGGCTGTTCTGGGTCTTTTGACTCTCCATATAATCTGTTTGTTGATACCCACAAAATAACTTGGTAGGCTTTTGATTGGGATTGCAGTTGAATCTTTAGGTCAACTGGGAAGAACTGACCTCTTGACGATATTAAGTCTCCTTATTCATGAACATAGACTATCCATATTTTTAGTTCTTTGATTTTGTTCATTATATTTGTGTAGTTTTCTTCATATGGATCTTGTACCTATTTTGTTAGATTTATATTTTGTATTCCTTTTTTTTGCCATGCTGATGTAAATAGTATTGTGCTTTTAATTTCAAATTCCACTTGTTCATTGCTGATATATAGGAAAGTAGTTGGCTTTTTTCTTTTTTTTTTGTATTAACCTTGTGTCCTGCAATCTTGTTTAGTAGCTTATTTCAAGAGATTTTTGGTTGATTCATTTGGATTTCTACATAGGCAGTCATGTCGTCTACAAAAAAGTTTTATTTCTTCCTTCCTAATCAGTATACCCTTTATTTCCTTTTCTTGCCTTTTTGCATTAGCTGGGACTTCCAGTATGATGATGAAAAGGAGTGGTGAGAGGGGACATCCTTGCCTTGTGTTTGATCTTAGTGGGAATGATTCTTGTTTCTCACCATTAAGTATAATGTTATCTAGGTTTTTGGTAGATATCTACTATAAAGTTGAGGAAATTCCCCTCTATTCCTTATTTACAGAAAACTTTTATCATGAATGGTGTTGGAATTTTATCAAATGCTTTTTCTGCATCTACAGGCATACCTTGTTTTACTGCACTTCACTTTATTGTACTTTGCAGATACTGCATTTTTTACACAATGAAGGTTTGTGGCAACTATGTGTTAGGCAAGTCTATCAGACCCATTTTCTCAACAGTATTATTTATTTATTTAAAGGGGTTGGTAATTAGTTTTTTTTTTTTAATGAAGGTACTGGGGATTGAACCCAAGACCTTGTGCATGCTAGGCACGCACTCTACCCCTGAGCTATACCCTCCCTCCAACAGTATTATTTTAAAATCAAGGTATGTACTTTTTTTTTTAAGACATAGTGCTTTTGCACACTTAATAAACTACAGTTTAATGTAAACATAACTTTTATATGCACTGGGAACCCAAAAAATTCATTTGACTCACTTTATTGCAACATTTACTTTATTGCAGTATCTGGAACTAAATCCTCAATATCTCAGAAGTATGCCCATATTGATATGATCATGTGATTTTTCTTTAGCCTGTTGATGTGATAAATTATATCAGTTGATTTTTGAATGTTGAACCAGCTTTTCATACCTGAGATAAATCCCATCTGGTTGTGGTATATAATTTTTTTATACATTCTTGGATTCCATTTGCTAATATTTTTGTTTTTCTCTGTTGCTTGCTTGCTTTTTCACTGATTTCCTCTTTTTATTATTTCCTTCCTTCTACTTTGATTTTATTTATTTTTATTTTCTTTTTTTAGGGAGCTGGATATTTGGTTTATTTATTTATTTTTGGAGGAGGTACGGAGGATTGAACCCAGGACTTCATGCATGCTAAGCATGTGCTCTACCACTTGAGCTATACCCTCCCCCACTTCTACTTTGATTTTAATTGCTCTTATTTTTCCAGGTTCATGAAGAAAATTCATTTTAGACCTTTCTTTTCTAATGTAAGCATTTAAAGTTACAAACTTTACTCTATACACTGACTAACCGCATCTGACAAATTTTGATATTTTTTCATTATCATTCAGCTTATAGTATTTTCTAATCTCCCTTTTGATTTCTTCTTTGACCTGTGGGTTTTTGTTTTTTTTCAGAAGAGTGTTTAAATTCCAGATTCTTGGGGTTTTCTCAGTATTTTTTATCGATTTTAGTTTAATTCCATTGTGGTCAGATAACATCTCTTGAAGATTTCAGTCTTTTAAAATCTGTAAGAATTGTTTTATGGCCCCCTATATGGTCTGCCTTAATGACTGTTCCTTGGATACTTGAAAACAGTGTATATTCTTTCAGCTTTAGGTGTTGTGTTCTATAAATTTCTATTATGATAAGATGGTTTATATTGTCATTCAGATATCTTTACTAAATTTTTTTGTCTAGCTCTATACATTACTGAGAAAAGTGTGCTAGAAATATCCAGTTATGATTATGGATTGGACTGTTTGTCTTTTTAGTGTTCCCAGTATTTGTTTCATATATTTTGAAACTCTTCCATTAAGCACATAAACATTTATAATTTTGTATCTTCCTAATATATTTACCTTTCTGCTATTAAATATCTGTCCTTGTCTCCAATAAATGCTGCTTATCTTGAAGTTTGCATTGTCTGATTTTATTGTAGCCGATCTAACCTTCTTATACTTCCAGTTTGCATGGATGAGTAGGAAAAAGTCACTTCTCTCTCTCCTTTACTTTTCTATTACTACCACTCTCACAACACTTCTGACACCAGATATGTAGGGGGTTTTCCTACACCAAACAATTCTCTGTGATACCAGCTCAGTTCTTACACTATCTACCTGGAGTTGCAAGTATTAGGTCCCAAGGACACCCACAACTTCTGTCCAACTTGTTTGCAAATTGGAGATTCCTGTGACCTCCTCCCTCATGGATTAGATTACTTGCTAGAACAGCTCACAAAACTCAAGGAAGTATTGACAACTGTAAGAAAGGTTATGATAAAGGATACAGATGAAAGGCCAGATGAAGAGATACATAGGGCAAGGTCTGGAGGGTCCTGAGCACAGGAGCTTCTATCCCCATGGAGTTAGAATGTGTCACTCTTCCAGGACTTAGATGTGTTGACCAAATTGGAAGCTCTCTGAGCCCCTTACTTTTGGAATTTTTATGGAGGCTTCAGCACCTAGACATGATGGATCATTGACTCCATTTCCAGCCCCCTACCTTCTCTGGAGAATTGGCAGTTGGGCTGAAAATTCCAAATTTTTAATCATAGCTTGGTCTTTCTGGTGATTAGCCCCCATCCAGGAGCTCACCAAGAGTCACCTCATAAGAACGGAAGACACTGCTATCACCCAGGAAATTCCAAGGGATTTACGAACTCTGCGTCAGGAACTGGGATCAATGACCAATTAAAATAAAGGATGCTCCTAATGCTCTTATCACTTAGGAAGTTACAAGGGTTTTAGGTGCTCCTTGCCAGGAAATTGGGGGCTGGGAGGGGGCAGAAACCAATATATTTTTCCCATTATCTCACAATGGTGTATCTTTTTCTTTTTTTTTCTCTTTTAACTTGTTAGTGTCTTTGTGTTTAAAAGTGTGATTCTTGTAAACAGTTTTGTGTTGGTTTTGCTTTGTTATCCATCTGACAATATCTAACTTTTGACTGGAGAATTAATTCATTTATATGTAATATAAGTATTAATATGTTTAGATTTAATTTTTTTGATGTTTATTTTCCATCTCACCAGCTTTTTATTATGTTTCTCTTTTTCTTCCCTCTTTTGTCTTAATCACATGTTTTTTGTACTTTGTTTTAATTTATCTATTGGCTTTTCAGCTTTATTTCTTTGCTTTTGTGTATGTGTGTGTGTGTGTGTGTGTGTGTGTGTGTGATTGCTCTAGGAATTACATTATGCAACTGTAACTTATCACAGTCTCTTTAGAGGCAATTTTAGATTAGTTCAGGAAAAAATACAGGAATTTTGCAACCATCCAGTTCCTTTTACTTCTCCCAACCTTTGTGCTATAATTAGAGTGATCAGCTTATCTTCTGTTTGCCTAGGAACTTCCTGGTTTTAGCACTGGAAGTCCTATCTTTCGGCAACTCCCTCAGTCCTGGGCAAATTGGAAAGGTTGGTGACCTTTGCTATTGTTATCATCTTTGTTACATCTATTAATGTTATAAACTCAACAATACAACGTTATACTTTTTGCTTTAAGTGAGAGGTGGGCAAAATATGGCTCCCATACCAAATCTGGCTTCTGGCCTGTTTTTGTAGGACCCACAAACTAAGAATGCTTTTTGCATTTTTAAGGAGTTACTAAGAAAAAGGAAAAAAAAAAAAAGAGACACAGTTATGTGACCCACAAACCAAAAATATATATTAATCTGGCCCTTTACAAAAGAAGGCATAAACAATCATATGTGTCTTTAAAAGAAAGTAATAGAAAAAAAATACACACACATATACTTATCATTTTAAATTTGAATCATTTGTAAAGACTGGAGAGCCTTTTTTTAAAAAAAGACTTGAATACATTGTTTAGGGAGCAATCTTGTGGTCTAACCAAATCTGTATTGTTTTACACAAATATATTTTATAGACAGTGTTGAAAATGTGATCAGATAAAGATTAAACAAGAGAAATATAGTTTATGTTGTTCCAGTGCCACCAAGCACTGCCACTATACAGTATAAAAACAATTTGGTGAGGTTTTCCAAAGTAAAAGATTCTTTCTTTTTTAAAAACCTTTTAAAAATTGAAGTATAGTTGTTTTACAGTGTTGTGTTAGCCAAGGATTGTCTCCATTGTTAGTTTAAAATTAAATTTATTATGTTTTGACAATTGACTTGAGTACTTGTAAATCACTTCGGAAGAAATAATTTCAATATTTAAAACATTTTCATTTATTCTGGTTATTTGAGTAAAAGCTTAGGTTTACATTGTATACATAATACCTTCCAGTTTGTTTAGGTCATAAACTGTATGCTGGCTTAGAGATGAAAAGAAAATCTGAGGACAACTACAAGTTTTCATCATAATAGCTCAATTTTATTTGGAAAGAGCTCATTAATTATGTTAAATATATTCTTTTGAATATAACAAATATATAATTTGAAAAATATTTCAGTTTTTAATGTAAATACTTAAGGGACTTCATCAGGATTTAATCAAACTTTTGTTGTTTCTTAAATGTGCTTTTTTTTTAGTAAAAATAACTGAAGAAAAATTATAGTTGAGGCTTTCTAAGTTTTTAAAGGTGAAGTTTGTTTTAAACTTTATGAAGAAATAGTTCTTTAAGATATAAGCTGAAAAAATGGGAAACCAGAAAGCCTTGTTTTGTTTCTTGCTTTTGTTTACTACATAACATATTAGAATATTAAATATTGCATATTAGAATACTACAATGATTCTATAATACCTTATATCATATTAAATTCTTATATGTATTTTATATGTAATGTATAAAACCTTTAAAGTTTGAAGGAATTTTTCTATTTGAATATATTATTCCTTTTAAAAAAATTTAGAAACATAATTATAGAAATACTATGCACAGTTCAGTGGTATTAAGTACATTTATATTGTTGTGCAACCATTACCACCATCCATCTCCAGAACTCTTCATTTTGCAAAATAACTTCCCTTCTGCTCTCTACCCAGCTCCTGGCAACTACTCATTGCTTTTTGTCTCTATGAACTTGACTGTTACTTCCTTTAAGTAGAATCATACTATATTTGTCTTTTGTAACTGACCTATTTCACTTAGCTTAATATCCCCAAGGTTCATGTTGTAACATGTTTTGACAAAGTTTGAGAAGGACTGGTGTTAGTTTTCTTTAAACGTTTGGTAGAAATCACCAAGAAGTCATCAGGTCCAGAGCTTTTCTTTGTTGGGAAGGTTTTGATTACTGACTTAGTCTCTTGACTAGTTGTAGTTATATTTTCTGTTTCTTCATGATTCAGTCTTGTAGGTTTTGTGCTTCTAGGGTTTTGTCCATTTCATCAAGTTATCCAGTTTGTTGGTGTGAAGTTGTTCATAGTACTCTCTTTAATCCTTTTTACTTCTGTAGAATTGGTAGTAATAAGCCACCTTCAAATCAAATTATTTGGTTTAATAATTTGTCTTCTCTCTTTTAGTCAGTCTAGCTAAAGTTTTGTCAATTTTGTTCATCTTTTCAAAGAAATCAACTTTGGTTTCATTGATTTTCACTACTTTTTATTCTCAATTTTGTATTTCTCAAATCTTTATTTTTCTTCCTTTTGGTAGCTTTGGGTTTAGTTTACTCTTCTTTTTCTAGTTCCTTAAGTTAGAAAGTTAGGTTGTTAATTTGGGATCTTTCTTTTTTTAATGTAAGTGTTTACAGCTATAACTTTCTCTGTAAACATTGCTTTCACTGTGTCCCATGAATTTATTAGGTTTTATTTTTGTTTTCATTCATCACTAAGTATTTTCTAATTTTCCTTGTGATTTCTTTTTTGATTCATTGGTTATTCAAGAATATATTGTTTGACTTCAACAAATTTGTAAATTTTCAAGTTTTTCTTCTGTTCTTGATTTCTAACTTCATCCTGTTATGGTTGGAGAAGATACTTTGAATGATTTCTATCTTTAAAAAGTGAACTTTGATTCTTAACTTGTGCCATATACAAATAATATTCTAAGATGGATCATAGACCTAAATGAAAAATTTTAAACTATGAAACTTCCAGAAAATAGTAAAAAACAAAACAAAACTTTGTGAACTTAAGTTAGGCAAATGTTTGTTAATTACACACCAAAGGCACGATCCATAGAAGAAAAAAGTGATAAATTGGACTTGTTCAAGTTAAAACTTCTACTCTTTGAAAGCCATTGATAGAGGACTTATATCCAGAATATATTAAGGACTCTCAGAGCTCAATAATAAGAAAATGAACATTTCAGTTAAAACAAGGGTAAAAATTTGAATAGACACTTCACCAAGGAAGACCTACAGATGGCAGTAAACATGAAAAATGTTCAACATCATTAGGCATTAGGGATATGCATATTACCGCAATGAGATCCCGCTACCCTACTAAAATGGTTAAATAAAATTAAAGACTGAACCTACCAAGTGTTGCTGAGAATGTGGAGGAACTGTAACTCTCTTAAAACTGCTGGTAGGAATGTAAAACAGTATAACCACTTTGGAAAATAGTTTGTCAGTTTTTTTTAGAAAGTTAAACACCTACTGTATGATCCATCCATTATTTATTCATACAAGAGGAAAGAAAGTATATGTCTATACAAAGGCTTGAACTTGCTGTATTCATAGCAGCTTTATTTGTAAAAGCTAAAAAATGGAAATAGTTCAAATGTACATCAGCAGGTTGATGGATAGCTGTGGTATATCCATACATGGAATAGTATTTAGCAGTAGAAGAAATGAACTTATTACATGCAACAACGTGGACAGATCTCAAAATAATTATGCTGAGTAAAAGAAACTAAACAAAAAAAAGCATGTGCTTATGATTCCATTTATATAAAACCTTAGAAAATTCAAGCTTATCTATAGTGACAGCTGATCAGTTGTTGCTTGTGGATATTGAGACGGGTGTTAAGAGGGAGGGGCAGGAGGTGAGATTACAAAGGGGCATGAGGAAACTTTGGGGGATGATAGCTGTATTTACTATCTTGATTGTGGTGATGGTTTCATGGGCATATACAGGTGTCAAAACTTTTGTCAAATTGTACATTTTAAATATGTGTAGTTTATGTTTATTATACCTTAGTGAAGTTGTTAAATGATGTGATGGTTTTTTCACTTAAAAATATGTAAAGATCATAGACTACTTCAGATAGTAAAGAACTTTTGTTAGAAAAGTAACAAATCTGCAAGGCTTATAGGATTTGTTTGATATCTTTCCTCAAGAGGAGACTAGGAGAACCTGTGTCTCAACACCTTTTTTTATAGTCTTCCATGTTCCTTTTCTCCAAACTGGCTATTGTGAATGATCCTTTTTCTGTAATTGGTATTGACCCTCTTCATGCTTGAATTCTTAAAGACTCGTTTTCAGTTCTGTTTTATTATCAGCAATCAGTTTGTGTCTAAGTCTTGTTTCTTCCTTGCTTTGAAATGTCTGTCAAATGTATCTTTTTTTTTTCAATTACATTCTCTGCCAGCATTGCAGAACAGACCAACAGCCTCTCATTCTGGAATTAATGCAGTAAGTTCCTAACTAGTCCCTTTCTTCTAATCTAATCCATGTTGTAACTATTCTGAGACTGACATTTTAGGAAATAAATTTTATGCTTCACATTCTTCTCCTGGCCATTCATATATTAAACATTTACTATATGCATGGAACTGTAAAGGACTAGGAGAACAGAAGGACATGATTCTTATCTCAGTTTTTATGGGGAGGTGTTTAAATATAAATGTTATTTTTACCTTCAGGGTTACTTATTGTTTGGTTGAAGAGATCACATAAACACTTGAGAAGTTTAATTAATAGTAAAGTAATAATATATTTTTTCCTTTTTTTCCTCCTTCAGGTTCCTGTTGCATGTAAATCCTGTCCCTGTGGTTATGTATTTATTAATAGGACATCTCTAAAAATGAAACAGTTGGAGAAATCATCACCTTTCACAGGTAATTGTGAGAGTTTACCACATTCCCATCTATTATATATATTTAAAATTAATTTTTGTGAGTTAAAATATTTTTGCTGGTAAAGCTATCATATTAAAGTATATTGAAATACATCTTTGGCTTTTATTAGATACAATAAGTCAATTTATGATGAGTTGTTCTTTATCCAATATAAATGTTGACTCCTTCACAATACTGATAAATTTTATAACAAATTTTAATGAGAATTTTAATTTGAAAAATGTTAACTGGATGAAAGAGAACTTTAGTTTTATTATTAATATTTTTTTAAAGTACCAGTTATTTTGTTCAATTTATTGATTTAGACTAAAAAATTGCTGATTTTAATTTTGAGGTTATAGCTTTCTCTTTAAAGTTGACAAATCTTGATTTAGTCAATAAGTATAATCAGAGAATGTAGTTTTTTGTTATTCTTATTTTTTTCTGTGATAAAATCAGATTTCTAACAGTGAACCCAAAATAGGAATAGATTTATTACATTTATTGAGTGCCTAACATGTGCCAGGTACTGTGTATCTTGGACATATAGCAGTAAATCTACTACCAAGACAGGTTTGGTGCTGTCAGGTGGAGGAAAAATATATATAGGAATATACATGTGGAATATATAGGAAAAATATCAGCTAATAGTAAGTGCTAGGTAGGAAATTAAAATAGGGTACTGTCCTGGAGGGTGACTGGAAGGCTACTTTTGCTTGAATGGTCAGGAAATATATCTCTGAAGAGGTAATATTTTAGCTAGGATCTGAATAGATGAAGGGGCTACACATGAAAGGCAGGGACAGCAAATTCTAGGCAGAGGGAAAAGCAAGGCTGGATTTATTCCAGGAATGCAAACTTGGTACTGTGGGGGAGGGGAAATTTCCTCTCCTTCCCCTATTAGTTCTTCTGCCTGTCAAATGATGTAAGGCAGATTGACAGGGGAAAATCAAGTTTATTATGTGTGCATGAGGAATCCATATAGTATAAAGAATTTCAAAGAAGGCAAGAAAAGGTGAGATAGATCTATATATTCTGGACTAAGGAGAGGGAGGTAGAGAAGACTGAAGCTTCAAGGGGAACTAGGGTAATTCACAGGAAGATAAAAAGTGTTAATTTTTGGTAAAGAAATGTTTGCTGGGCCATCCAAAGACCGTGGTACACAGAGGACTTTGATCAAATGGGCTTTGCTAGGTTTCTTACTGTCTACCATACCTAATACTTTACTATAGTTATTTATGGTAATAGCTTCTTCCTAGGACAAGCCTCCTGTCTTAAATTCTTTTAGGCAGTAAGAGGGAAGCTTCTTCCTGAGTCTTGTGGGCCTTGATAGTTTTCAGCTCAAAATAATCCACATGCCAGAGTGGCACATCTTGGGTGGCCTGCCTGTAGCCCCATCAGTACAACATAAGGAAGTCTTATTAATATCATATGTCATATTAATAAATATAAGGATAAAATCTCATAAGGTTGTCTCTGTAGATGCTGAGAAAGCCTTTAGCAGAATTCAGTACCCATTCATGAAAAAGACACTCAAGAAAATAGGAATTGAAGAATATTTTTTATCTTGATAAAGTATGTATCTTAGTGTTAAAACTAGTATCATATTTAAATGAGGAAACACTACAGGCATATCCATTAAGATGAGGAACAAGGCAGCAACCCCATGTCTCCCCTACTGTTCAGCAGTATATCAGAGGTAAATTAGCCAAGGCAATTAGATAAGAGACATCAATAAGAGGCATAAGAATGAGTAATGAAGAAGTGAAACAGTAACTATTTGCAGATCATAGGATACCTGAACCCCAGAAAATCAGTAATATAACTAATTCAGACAGTGAAAAGATTCAGTGAAGGAGCAGGATTTAAAATTAACGTACAAAAATCAGCTTTCATATACAGGCATACCTTGTTTAATTTCACCTCACTTTATAGAGCTTCACAGATAACTGCATTTTTTACAAGTTGAAGGTTTATGGCAAAACCGTATCAAACAAGTCTTATGGTACCATTTTTCCAGTAGTATTTGCTTACTTCGTGTCTCTGTGTCACATTTTGGTAATTCTCGAAAAACTAGAAGTGTAGCTTGAGGATGTGACAGAACTGCAACAATCTCATGATAAAACTTAACATATGAGGAGTTTCTTTTGTGGATGAGCAAAGAAAGTGGTTTCTTGAGATCTACTCCTGTAAAGATGCTGTGATGACTGTTGAAATGACAACAAAGGATTTAGAACATTACATAAATTTAGTTGATAAAGCAGAGGCAGGGTTTGAAAGGATTGAATCCAATTTTGAAAGAAGTTCTATGGGTAAAATGCCATCAAACAGCATTGCATGCTACAGAGAAATCAATGATGAAATGAAGAGTCAGTTGATGTAGCAGACTTCACTTTTGTCTTATTTTTAGAAATTGCCACAGCCACCAACCTTCAGCAACCACTACCCTGATCATTCAGCTGCCATCAACATCAATAGAATGACTGAAGTCTCAGATGATAGTTAGCATTTTTTAGCAATTAAGTATTTTTTATTTAAAGTATGTATTTTTTTATACATAATGCTATTGCACACAATAAAATACAGTATACTATAAACATAGCTTTATAAATATGCACTGGGAAACCAAAAAATTCATGACTTGCCTTTTTGTAATACTTACTTTATCGCCATAGTCTAGAACCAAACTTGCAATATTTCTGTGGTATGCCTGTATATACAAACAGTAAACAGAACACAATGTTAGAGAAAAGCCCATTTATAATAACAAAATAGAAGATTAAATACTTAGAAATAAATTAAGAAGTTGCAAAGCCTCTACAAAGAAAATTTAAAACACTCCTGAAAGACACTAAAGCAGATTTAAGAAAATGGTAAGACATGAACATGTCAATCCTCCCTAAGTTAATTTATAAAATCAATGCAACCCTAGTAAAAATTCTAAGTTATTTTATTGAGTTAAATTTAAAGTTTTAAAGTTCATGTGGAAAAACAAACATGCAAAAATAGCCAAGAAAATTGCCAGTTGACTGTCATACAGGGTCTCAGGGAAATTAAATGGGGAAGAAAGTCTTTTCAACAAACAGTGTCAGTATACCATGCTGGATATCTACATATGAATGAAGTTGGGTTTCTCTCTCACAGCATACAGGAAAATGCAAAATAGATCATAAGCTTAAATGTAAGAGCTAATAAAACTATAAAACTCTTCAAGTAAAACAAAGGACTGAATCTTTGTGACCTTAGTTTAGGTTAGGCTGTTTCTTACATATGATGCCAAAAGCATAAGTGACAAAACAAAAATAAATTGGACTATATAAAAATTAGAAATTTTTTTGGGTGCAAATATTATCAAGAAAGTAAAAAGACAGCTCACAGAATGGGAAAGACTATTTGCAAATCACATATCTGATGAAGGAGTTGTATCCAGAATATATAAAGAACTCTTACACCTCAATAATAAAAAGAGAAATAACCCAGTTTTTAAAATGGGCATAGGATATGTGTAGAATTTGTCTAAAGAACATATATAAATGGTCAGTAAATACATGAAAAGATGTTTAACAGTATTATCCATTAGAGAAATGCAAATCAAAATCATGAGATACTATTTCACATACTAAGATGGCAATAATAAAAAAGACAAGTCTTGGTGACTTTTTTCTTTTCACAAGTATTGGTGAGGAAGTGGAAAACTGAAACCTTCATACACTGCTGGTAGGATGTTAAATGGTAAGCCACTTTGAAAACAATCTGCTAGTTCCTCAAATGGTTAAACACAGAGTTACAGTGTGACCCAGCAGTTCTACTCTTAGGTATGTACCCAAGAGAATTGAAAACATAAGTCTACCACAAAAACTTGTACATGAATGTTACTAGCAGCATTATTCATAATAGCTAAAATGTGGAAATAGTCCTGATGTCTGTCAACTGATGATAAACAAATGTATATCCATATAGTGAAATGTTATTTGATAGTAAAAAAAAAAAGGAAGTAATGATATATGCTACAACATGAATGACTTTTGAAAATGTACTATGTGAAAGAAGCCAGTCACAAAAGATCACATACTGTATGATTCCAATTAAAGGAAACATCCACATAGGCAAATTTATAGACAGAAAATAGATCAGTAGTTTAGAGCTAGGAAAGGGATAGGGGAGAATGGGGAATAGCTGTTAGTGCATACAGAGTTTCTCTTGTGGGAAGGGGAACAAAAAACATTCTAAAATTAGATTTACAACACTGTGAATATACTAAAACCATTGAATTGTACACTGAATTTATTATTATTATTTTTTGTCCCATTTGTTTTCTTAAGCCTTCCCAATAATTCCATGCAATCTGGCCAACCATCTTCAGGATTAAATAGTCCTCTTTCAGGTAATTCTTACATCTTACAGTAAACAAAGGGCCTCTAAGATTAGTGCTGAGTGTACTAAGGTTTATTCTTTTTTTTTGCCTTCCAGTTTTTTTTTCCCTTCCAGTTTTATTGAGATATAATTTACATACAGCACTGTATAAATTTGTGTACAGCATAATGATTTGACTTATATGAGGAAATGATTACCATAATAAGATCCATTATCTCACACAGATACAAAATAATTTTCTTTGTGATGAGAACTCTTAGGATTTATTCTCTTAACAACTTTCATATATAATATACAGCAGCGTTAATTGTATATACCTTGTACATTACATCCCTAGTACTTATTTATCTTTTAACTGGAAGTGTGTACTTTTTTTTTCTCAGTTCTCAAAAATTACTTTTTTAATTGAAGTACAGTCAGTTACAATGTGTCAGTTTCTGGTGTACAGCACAATGTTCCAGTCATGCATATACATACATATATTCGTTTTCATACTCTTTCTCATTAAAGGTGATTACAAGATGTTGAACATAGTTCCCTATGCTATACAGTGGCTAACATTTGTAAATCTCAAACTCCTAAAATTTATCCCTTCCCACCTGCTTCCCCCAGTAACCAAAAGATTGTTTACTATGTCTGCAGTCTGTTTCTGTTTTGTAGACGAATAAAATATATGGAACGCTCCACGAAATTTGCGTGTAGTCCTTGTGCAGGGGCTATACTAATCTTCTCTGTATTGTTCCAATTTTACTATATGTGCTGCCGAAGTGAGCACTGGAAATGTGTACCTTTTATGTACTTCATCCAGTTTGCCCTCCCCTACACCTGCCTCTGGTAACCACAGATACCAGTGTTTTAGATAATAAGAACTGGTTTTCTCATAAATAAGGAAAGGAGGAGGCTAAAATGAATTCTGAGTTGCACTGGAATCTGAGATATCACTCATGTGTGAGTTAGAATGCATACATATATTTATTTACTCTGTCCACTGAGAGGAGCTATAAGTGATGACACCCCAGCAGTAATGAACAAACCTAGCATCCAATTTTTTTTTCTAAGTATAATTCTCCAATAAAAGGAACCAGGGCTCTTTGGAGAACTGGTCGATTCCAGGACTGAGATGGGGTAAAGATGCCTGGAATATCTTGAGGTGTGCGATGACAAAATGCCTTTAAAAAAAAAAAAGAAAAAAGGAATACTGTTGAAAATGGGAGCCAGCCTGAAGGAGTCCTTAATGACCAAAGCTGGAACAATTTGAGCTAAAGAAATAAATGACACCATTGGATTATAATCCGTAGAATAGTAAAGTAAATACCTGTGAGTCCACACTGATATATAAATGAAAAATGGGGGGAAAGGGGCTAGTTCTTCCTTATAGTAGAATTTCAGTTAATAACTGTAGAAGGATTGCAGGAAATAGAAAATCAGCATTAGCTAAACAGTAATTATTGTATACAAGATCCACTGGTGGATAGTAAAATTAGTGAGTGAAAATTTGAGGAGAAATTAAAATTTTCCCACAAAGGGAAAGACAGTAACTTTAAAGGGATGAAACCTGTCAAAATTTACCTTAATCAGTGATCAAGGTGAATATCACAGTAATAAAACATATTGACATCATGAAATTCATGATATTATGCACTGAAAAGGATTCATCATTTCTTTGTATTCTTGCCAAAAATGCATAGACTTAGTCCAATCAACAGAAAACATCAGCCAAACCCAGATAATATACACTTGACAAAATGACCTATCAGTACTTTTCAAGAGTCAAGGTCATGAAAGGTAAGGGAAGACTGAGGCCCTTGCAGAGGCTGGAAGAGACTAAGGAGACATGACAACTAAATATAATGTGGGATTTTTTTTTTTCTTTTCAAATGGCTTTTTCTTGCCTAATGCAATCTATTTCTGTGTATTCTCTTTGAACATTTAAGACACGATTTAAAATGTCTTATTTTAACTTAAAATAGTGTTTCATATCATTTTATTATTTGTATGTGGTTATGAGATATGAATTCTATTCATGTGTCCCTTCACCACTGTGGCTTTCAGGTCCACCCTCTACCCCCTACTTATGCACTTGAGACATTTCTCTCTTTTGCTTTCGGATTTAACTCTTAAAACAAATTGTGTTTTTGTTTGTATCTTAACCTAGCATGTTTGTTTGAAGTGGAAGAGGTGGCTTCTTACATCAGTTAAATCTATTATATTAATGGGAAAACTCTCCCCTAGTTCTATTTCATTTAGGAACAACGAGGGTAATTGCTTTCAGTATATTAGGGACTGAAATAAAGCTACTCACTTTCCTAATATTTATCTTATAGTTGCTATATATATATATTTTTTTTTGTAACAATATATTGTGTATGGGTGAAATCAGATTTTTTTTTCTGCTTTTGTAATAGAAGATTGTTGACTTATTTGAAATAGCTTAATTTAGAATTTAAGTGAGGGCAACCACTAACCAACCCACTTTCCACTTCACCATCTTAGAATCATAGATGGGGAAAAGGGCAGATAAGTTGCTGTGGAGCAATGTGTACTTACAAGGGGCTGGAATGAAAGCTGCTGAAAAAGAAACCATCCTCCTTCACCTCAAGATTCACCCCATTGTCCAGATTTGAATTCTGCTAAATCACTCTCCCTTTAAAAAAACAAACAAACAACAACAACAAAAAACCTTTGGAGGGTTTAGGGAATATGTATATTATGGTTGTAGTTTTAAAAAAACACTAGGCAGTGGACTTACGCACCATTTAGAATACATGACTGTCACAGGGGGAAAATGCGAAATTAGACAATAGTTCTTTCACATCCCTAAAATATGTTCTTTTTTATGCATCTATACAAAATTAAGTATGAAGCCAAGAGGAGTGAAATAAAGAGGTAAAAGAAGGTAAATTTGATAGTAAATAGGGATTTAGAAAACATAAAGAGGTTGTGAAGTAGCAGTCATTCAGATCATATGAGACGGGGAAGAGGAAGACCTAAAAATACTTTGGTCGGAAAACATACGTTGGGGGTGATGGACAGTCAGTCCATTATGGGGAAATCAACCCATTATGGGAGAATTTTTTTCAAAGCATTAAATTGATGTGAGATATTTGGTAGTACTGAGAAATTATTTAGTGGGCATTGAGTTCCTGGATTTAAAAGTACTGCTCATATTTTAGTTCAAAAGCATTTCTTCCACATTAGATGCTTGTAAAATTACTGGAAGTTGTGTTCGTATTGGAAAGCCAGAAGACTTGAAAGTATCGTCCACCTGATGAAAACTGATGGTATAAGAGTACAGTGATAAAATTATGTATCCTCCAAATGAAATTGCTGATATTTGACCAGTTGAAACTTGACCATGATTGATACCAGGTCTAATTTTAGTTGTGTTTAGTATTTGCAATGATATTATGCTATTCAGTTTTCTCTGATTATTGAGTTTTTATTGTTTATTTTTTCCACAGAAGTGAACAATACCATATCTTTGAAAGATTTACGAATACTTTTTTTATATGAATTTAAACTAGGACACAGTGCAGCCATGGCAAGTAGAAACATCAATTCTGTCTTTGGAGAAGGCTCTGTTAGTGAAAGGACTATCCGATGGTGGTTTGAAAAATTTCGTTCTGGGGATCTGAGTCTGAAAAATGAGCCTCGAGGGAGACCCAGATCGGTTTTAAATGAAGATCAGTTGAGAGCCATGGTAGAAGCTAATCCCAAAACAGCAATTCGAGGCCTTGCAGCAGACTTAGGAGTTTCTGCTACTACAATCTCTCGACACCTGGCTGCAATAGGAAAGGTGAAAAAATTGGACAAGTGGGTAGGTACGACACCTATTGATGGACAATAATAAACTCAGATGGTTAGAGATATGCTCATCTCTTAAGATTTGAAAGAGCAGAGACCTATTTTGGAGAGGAGCATAAACTTTGATAAAAAATGAAATTGAAAGTCATCTGGACAATGGTTGGATATTGATGAAGTTCCTGAATATGTGTTAAAACTGTTATTGCAACCAAAAACAGGTTGTATGGTGGTCTGCAAAAAGAGTGTTTCATTACTGCTTTCTAACCTAGGTGAAACTAATAGTAGGTTCTTACTGTCAAAAAGTTGAAATTGTATCAAAAATTGATTTAAAAGCACTCTGTTTTGGTTAGCAGACTTTTCCATGACAGCATTTGACCACAGAAATCACATACCACCATATGGAAGTTAACTGAATTGGGTTAAGAAATTTTGCCACTTCCATCATACTCACCTGACTTTTTTTCAAGGGATTACCACCCTTTCTGTCATTTGGAACTCTTCCTAAGAAACAGAACTTGCTGCAATTGAAAACCAGTAATTGAAAGATTTGAATAAATTTTAGCAATGCTGAATTTTATAAATATGGTATATATCACTTAATATCTGGGGCAGTTTATCATTTTGGGAAAGCAGTTAATGCTAACAGTGCCTACTTTGGTTGAATAAAGCTTTTCTTTTTCTCAAAAATAAAACATTTTCATTTGGCCTACAAAAAGGCAGTTTCATGCGGTTCAACTTGATACCTTCCCCGACCCTGGCAGAACATGAAGACTCAAAAGTACCTAAGGTACTGGAAAACTACAAGGTGCTCCTCAGTTTTGGGCTTCGTCATTGGAGGAATGTGGAGCAACCTGGAGTGTATGTGTGTGTGAAAGATGCTTTGGAGTCAGGTATGCAAAGATCTGAGTAAAGTGGGTTCCAGAGAGATGAGCTGCCTCATCAGAGGCTCTCTGAAAATATTTTTTGACTGTAGAAATGAAAGCATGTTTCTAACACTAAAAGCCATGCACACGTGGCTCAGTAATGCTTTCGGATGATAATACTTATTCTGTCACACAGAGCCAGTCCTTTTTGTTAATATGTTTTGCATTCTGATTCTGTATTTAAAAAAAAGTGTAGATAGCCTGTGAGAGGTCATAATTAATGGCCTCTTTATGATTTTGTAGCTGGATTGCAGTTACTCTTTGTGGCATCTAGGAATTGAGTTGGGATAAAGATACTGGGATGGTCCTCTTCCTGCCTCTTTCCTTCCTGACAACCTGCTTTGTCTAATCCATGAAGGAGAGGAGAGTTAAAGAATCTTGAAAGATAAGGTGTGAGAGAAGGACATTCTGGAATGGATCCTACCAGGAGGGGGAGAGAGACAGAAAGAGAGGGATGGAGGGAAATGGAGGGGAGAGAAGGAATGGAAATTCCCTAAAGTAGAACTGACTATGAACTCAAGGATTAAGGGCCCTTTACTGCAAAAAACAAACAAAAAAACCCTACACATTGTCCCTTCCTTCGGGTAGATGCAGCCCTACACTATGACACAAGGCTTGGTGAGCAGAGCATGGGATACTTTCTGTCCTAATTTACTCCCTTGGCTGGATGCCCAGGTCTGGGGTCACCTGTTCTCTTTACTACTCTGTCTTTGGGTTTGTCAGGATATCTCCTGTGTTTCTGTGGACTCTTGCTTACTCTCTGGAGAGTGAAGCTTCTGATTTAGTGCAGACTGAGAGGGTAACAGGGCTAAGACCAGAAGTGTGAGGAGGACTTAATTTCAAAGGCAGCACAAGGGTGAGGCTAAATGGTAACAGGGTGGGAAAGTTGTGTTTTATAGTTACTTAGTCTGGGTGGTAGTTGTGCTATGGCCCATGCGTCCTTCCCTCCATTCTCAGACCTCTTATCAGGCTCACAGAGCTGGATGCTGAATTTTGGCCTAAAACAATCAGTGGATATCCTTGTCCAGCCCAAATGAGTGGTTCTGGGATGAACAGGAAATCCAAACAGAAGCAGTGAAGCATGATGTAACAGGAAAAGGAGCAGACATAGGATGGTGAGTTATCTTAGCAGTCTTCCCTACTACCTCCAATAAAGGGTATAGACCCGAGAGACAGAAATGGGCCCGGTGGTTCTTGTGAGCCCATGGATCCAGTTGTGCCTGAGACTGGTACTGCTATTAGTGTTTTTTAGTTATATGAGTCAGTAACCCTTTTTGCTTAAGCCATTTTAAGTTGGATTTTTCCATTCTGGCAAAAGAAAGATTCCTGACTGGTAACGCTCCCTGAGTCTTTCTTTATTTAACTGTAACCTTTGCAGGGTTTGGGGAGGAGGAGGGACAGTTAATTTAAAGTAGATATCCAATAAATAGTACTTAATACTGTGAGAGTAAAAAACAAAGGAGGTGTAAAGCAAGGTGTGGAACACCCCTGGAGGCCCCTCTGTGTCCAAGGCAGTCCAGTGGGCTGAGTTCAGTGCTTCCAGTAAAGACCGGTACCTGTCTTGGACTGTCCAGAGGTTCCCAGCTGTAAAGGAGGGCTGGCCCCCTTGAGCCACTTGGAGCCTGTGGTTTTTCTGCAGTGGGTGTTCCCTGACCCAGTGTGTTATTGACCTCACAGGAAGTAAAGAAAAGCTCTTTTTCAGGACAAAGATCAGGCTTTTCATCTTCTTTGTCTTTATCTTTGGCGATTATTTGTACCTTTAATTGAAATCATAGACTATTCCTTTTTGGAAATATGGAGTGTAATGTTGTGAACAGAATCAACACAAAATGACTATGACTGCATTTTCATCATTGTGATCATCTCTCCATTGCCTTGGAAAAGCAGGAACTACAGATTTAAACTTATAACTCTTTAATTTAGGAGGTACATTGTTTTCAAAAGAAATGAGAAGTTTTATACACACTAAGAATCCCAATGCTCTTGCTCTCCTTTTCCAGAAAAGAAAGAAAAGCTTTAAAAGGCACCTTGGTAGAAACTGTGATTTGTTTGAGTGTCAAAGTTGTGGAGACAGAGGCTGCTAGATCTCACCCCACCCTACCCTACCCCTGAGCTTGGGTTGTAATTACAAAAGGGAATAAAAATGGCTTTGAGTGGCCATTTTGGTTTCTCCAGTACATAATACCTGTTATTAAAGAAGTTCCTGCCTGGTCTAATTGCTTATTATGAGACTAGAACACCTACAGCCAATTTAACAGCACACATGAAGGATCTTGAGCAATGTTAGAAATAGTATCGAAAGCTAGTGGAAAGTGGTCTCTTCCAGCACCCATCCTCAGTATGGTGGATTCTCTCTTCCTCTTTCTGTTGGTGCTTCCTCTTTCTGTTGGTGCTTCAGCCACAATAGCCTTTCGCTTCCTTCTACCTCAGCTCATTTGCCCATGCTGTTGTTTCTGGCTGAGTAGTTGATATTCCTCCTTACCTCATTAACTCTACCCATCATGCATATTTCCTTTAGGAATTCTTCCCTGGTTGGCCCACCCCCACCTCACCCAGGTCAGATCCCCTAGTCAGGGGCCTTAGAGCTCCAGGATGGTACTTCATAATTGTGAGCATAGTAGTTATATATTTATTTGTGTAATGGTGTGTGTTTGTATGAGATTCACAACAGCAGGAACTTTGTTTTGCTCACAAGATGGTATCCCCATCAAGAGCACAAGATCCAGCACATATTAAATGAATAAGTGTCAGGGACAGTTTCATCTATTTTGTAGAAAACCCTTGTTTTGGTATTAGCTTAAGTAAGGAATATGGTTGACAGCAAATAATTGAAAACCTAATGAACAGTAGTTTAAAAAGTAGGTTTAGTTTCCTATAATTTATGAAAATATTCCAACATACAAAACATTTGAATTTTACAGTGGACATCTGTATGCCAGCTGCCTAGATTGTCCTGTTGACATTTTACTGTACTATACTTGCTTTATCACTTATCTACCCATGCAGCCATTTTTTAAAAATGTATTTCAACATAAGTTTCAGGCTTCAGCACATTTCATCCTAAATACTTCAGCATACATATTACCTAGAGTTCAGATTTGTTTAAGATTCTTGTTGAGGTAAAATTTAAATCAATAAAGTGTGCAAATCTTAGAAGTGTACTTTTCAATACATTTTGACATGTAAATACTTGTGTATCACAAACCCCTATTAAGAGGCACACTATTACTATCAGCCCAGAAAGTTCCTTCATAACCCTTTTCGTTTTATCCCTGCCCTTAGCCCCCAAGAGACAAACACTGCTCTGATTTTTTTTTTTACCATGGAATAGTTTTGCATGTTCTAGAACTGTATATAAGTGGAATTACAGTATGTGCTCTTTTGTGTAAGCCTTCCTTTACAAAACATACTGTTTTTGAAATTTATCCATTTTGTTGTATGTGTTACTTTGTTCCTTTTAAAAGCTGATTCATATTCCATTAAATGAATATGCCACAGTTTGTTTATCTCTTTTCGTATTTGATAGATGTTTGTGTGTGTTTTTTTCCCAGTTGGGTCTATTATGAATAAAGCTGTTATGAATACTCTTGTTCAAATCTTTTTGTGGACATATATTTTCACTTCTTCTGGATAAATACTTAAGATTGGAAATACGGGTCATAGGCTATGTGTTTAGTTATTCCTAGACCTTTCCCCAAAGTGATTACACCATTACTTTCCTCTTTCACATTATAGGGAATCTAGAGAGGCATGTCACAACTGGGATGAGTGACCTACACACTTTCTAGTTTTCTTTTCATCCTTCTCAGTGGATTGATGGTAATTCCACGTATGACACCTAGGGTAGGCAGTCTTTAAGATGGCTCCCAATGATCTCTGTCTTGTGGTTTTCTTACCCTTCTGTAATTTCTCCTCTCATTGAGTGTGGGCTGGACTTAGTGACTTGCTTCTAATAGAATACAGCAGAAGTGATGGGATGCCACGTCTGAGTTATAAAAACAATATGGCTTCTGTTATGCATATTCTCTCATTCTTCCTTGGATCACTCATTCTAGGGAAGGCCAGCTGCTGTGTTTTGAGGCAGGTCTGTGAAGAGCCCATGCGATGAGGGACTAAGACCTACCAAAAATCAAGCGAAGTGAGCTTAGAAGTGGATTTCCCCCTAGTTGAGTATTCAGATGAGATTGCAGAACCACACGTGCATTACTGACTCACAGAAACTGAGATAATGTTTGAGGTGATTTGTTATGTCACAATAGATAACTACAACACCTCATTGTCTCATGGTTAGATGACTGCTGTACCTTTAGGACCTCATGTTCTTGCTCCATTCCACAAGAAAATTGTGAAAAGCAAAGGACAAATACATTTTTTCTTGACATGAGTCACTTCATTTTTATCAGGAACTCAGACCCTTTCCAAAAATCCACAAAGCAGACTTTGGTTTATGTATTATTGGTCAGAAATAACACCACACGACCCACTCCTAGTCAGAAGGTGGCTAGAAAGGGGGAATTTGGATGAAGTTTGCATCAGCCAACTATCAGTGTCTGCCATGGTAACCATTTCAAAAACCCCACAGAGTTAAAGACCTCTTTCTTAACACCTGCACCAGCCAAGTGGCCTTTTGGGGAGGCTTCCAGAAAAAGGACCTAGTCAGATGAAACTTTCAGAAACCTCAGGGCCAGGACTGCAGGGCCTGGGTTCCCTATTCATCCCCTACACCATTCTCCTCCAGAGAAAACTAAGGTTTTATCTTCCTCTGCTACTTCTATTCCTCTATTTCATTGCA